TTTTTAATTTATATAATAAAAAATAATATTTTTTATTTCTTAATTTACTTAATTTATATATCATATAATTTAAAATTAAAATTTTAATTTTTACCAGATTAAAAAAATTACAACTGACCTAATAAAATTGTTAACATGAGCAAGAATGAATTTATATACAGAGAAAACTATCATTTTTGATCTGATAAAAATAAAAAATCTTCTTCTCTATTTTTCTTTTTTTGATAAAAAAGGAGAATTATCATAAAAAAGCCAACGTCAAGTCCTGAGGTAAACAACCCCTACGGCATCAGCCAAACATACTAGTTCAACATCAATAGGACAAATATAGAAAATAACAAAATCAGGAGCATGGGCGCCCTTCTTTGCCATGGTATCAGCAGCCATGTTGCTCTCTCTAAAGACATGTTTCAAACGTACTTGGGGAATCATATTCAGTAAGGCCCTGCAATCCATAATAAAAGTGCTATGAGGATGGTGAAGATTAGTAGCAGTAGAAAGTAAGTGAAAAGCCACATAGCAATCTGTTTCAACAATAATAGAATTAAAGTGCAAGTTGATAGCAGTCTGGAGGTCATCTCTTATAGCCCATAATTCTGTAACTAAGGCAGTGGTATATCCAATGTTCCGGGTATAACCAAGGATCCACTTGCCATGAGAATCGCGAAACAAACCTCCACAACTACCCATACCCGGATTGCCCATCACTGAGCCATCTGTATTGAGTTTAATCGAACCATGGGGGGGAGGTTCCCAAGAGATTAATCGGGGTTGTTTAATACTACAACCAAGAGAAGGTGGCTGGGAGGCCCAAAACTCAATAGCATGATTCACAACCAAATCACTTGTAGCTTGCACATTCACTTGGCTCTCACGATACAAAATATTATTTCGTTGATTCCAAATTATCCATAAAGAAAAACAAAAAATAACAGACCAAGGAATATGGTGGATGGAACTAGGAGTCTTTTTTCCAGTTTGGAGTTTAAGCCAAACTCTAAAGTCCATCCTAACCTGATCCATATCAAGAATTCCTGGAAGCAACCTATTAAGAATTGCAACTACAGGAGGACAGCCTCTGAAAATATGATCTAAGGTTTCAACTTGATTATTGCACACCTTGCAAATAGGGTCCTGCACAATAGCAAGGGAATGGAGAAAATCCATAGATTTAATTCTGCCATGGACAAGAAGCCAAATAAAGTTTTTAATTTTTGGCAGTGTGGGAATTTTCCATATCCACTTCCAATCGCTTGACAACACATTTGAATTGGAGCAGAGAATTCTATGTGCTGAAACCGATGAGAACCGTCCATTAGCTTCACCTTTCCAAGAAAAGGTGTCATGAAGGTGATTCACGAGAGAAAGAGGTGTAGCCTTTATGGCCCTAATAATCTCCGAGTTCAGGTAATACCCAACAGTATCCATGTTCACAATCCCCCCATGAAGAGCACTGGCAAGAGGAATAGTTGCTGTGTTAGGAAGAAAAGGGCCATGAAAGACAAAGTTAAGAGGTGCTTGACCAATCCAATGGTCAGCCCATAAAGAAATATGTTGACCATCTTTGGGAATCCATTTGATACCTTTTTGAAGCAGATCAACTCCTTTGGACAAACTTTTAATAACTGGAGAACCGAAAGAGGGAAGAGAGGTTTTAAGATTAAAAATCTTATACTTTTTCACAAGGACTTCTCTCCAACCTTTCCCTCCTCAGTATGAAGTCTCCAATTTAGTAGTATGAAAAATCTTATACTTTTTCAGATACATTTTGGTGTTGTACATAATTTTTTTTTCTCTTTTTAAGGAGAAAGTCCCTCCTGCTTTGAACCAGTTCACCAAGACTCTTGACGAGGTTACTAGTATGTGTCTCATTTTTTTTTTCTTTTTTGGTATGTTTATTTCTCCTCATCACTATGCTTATGCTTAGATCTTTTATTAGTAATGGCATTGGTATCTATTAATCTTGCTATTTCAACAAGGTTGGATTCATCATTGTCACCTTTGAGTTTTGCTCTTTATCCTTTTGTCTCCTGGTTCATTATTATGGCTTGGTGAATGGTATGGTACCTTTAGCTTAAACATAAATGCCTTTGTGAAAATCTATCGCTTCAATTAGTGAATTTCTTTATTCCACAAAAACATAAAAGCAGTTCTAATAGAAATCTTGTACAGGGTAGAAAATGGCAAGGGAAAGAAAAAGGAAACCAATAATTGTGAATGTTCAAGACACAATGAATGATGAGTCTTCCTCCCAACAACCGCAACAAGATGAAGTTGGATCAGAAATAAGAATTGACCAATTTGCCCCCCAAAGGAGAAACTGTGATATTTAATCTCATTTATTTTCACTTTAAATTATGATATTTTAATTTAATCTTTTTATTGTTAAACAATGAATGCTATATACTAATGTTTAAATGTTGTTTTACAGGTACAAACACCCATGGAATTCCAATAAAACCAAAAAGAGGGGGTACTAAGTGCTTGGATGTTCACAAGCTAGGGCCAAATGAAGGGTTTAAGGTTGATATGAATCGAAATGGGCAAGCTATTGGTCCAGGTAGTCAAAAGCTCAGTAGTTTCTTAGGCACAATTGCTAGGAATTCCATGCTATGTCCTTTAAGTTATGAAGATTGGAGGGACATGCCAAGACTACCAAGGCTGACTAAATGGCTTATATTAAGGTAATATTACCATCTAAAATTTATTTATTTATTTATTTAATGATGATTAATATGATATTAATTATTGTTTATTTGATTGTTTCTTTTTTCTTTTTTGTCTTTTTGAAGACAAAGTTTGTTTTCTCTAAAAGGCTTCAATCTTGGATAAATAAATCTTTGGCAAAAAAGTGGAGGTATCACAAACATAAACTAGCCAATAGCAAATACTTTGACCCTAACAAAACACAAGAGGAAAATTGTAGGAAAACACCTCCAAATGTCCCTCCTCAACAATGGCAGTTTTTGGTGAAGTACTTCTTGTCACTTGAATAGAAGGTGATGAATGCTACATGTTTTAATGAATTATTCAATTCTTAAGTCACAAGTTGTTATATAATTCTTTTTTTTTTTTTTTTAAGAATTTGTCAAACATTGGGAAGAAAAGTAGGGTGCAACAAAAGGGATTCTATACCTGTGGAAGCAAGAGCTTTGCTAACAAAGTGGAGGAGCTAGTAAGTTAGGATTAAGTTTAATTATTTAGATTTTACAATCATCATTGAATGTGTTATTGACTATATGAGATTTTATAATAGATTAGATAATTTTCCCATTTTTTTTAAGCACAAATACTTGAAGAAGACCCCCTATTTTACATTCGATTTTGTTGCTATTTTTAATGCATTTGGATTAGCAAATTTTGACTACTCTAGTTCGAGGAAAGGAACTCTAAGTCTCTCAAAATTTTATTCTTAATTTCTACTCTAGTCCAGTTTGTTGGGATTATTTCATGGTTGACTTGGTTTGAATTGGTTTGAATTTGACTGATTCTTATCTTGATTTGGAGACTCCTTGTAAGTTTCTCCTTGGATTTTAGCTTGTTGAAACATTCCAAAACACTTTACTTTTTGAAATGTTTGTAGAGAGAAGAGCATTTGGATGATGTTGGGAAGATTGAATTCTATCATATAACACACACCTTAAAGAATGGTAATATTGTTGATGAAGAGGCTAAGAGAATCTTGGTTCATATTGGTTCCCATCTTTATTTTTTTTTTAAGGAATTATAGATATTATATGTTTCCTTGTTTCAGTTACAATTTATGAGCACATTTTTTTATTCACTTTTTGCAGAATGAGGCTGAGGCTACCTTTGAAAAATATAAGCAAGAGAACCCAGATTCAAGCACTAAAGATTTGTTAAAAGCTAAAAGGAAAATCATGTGCGAAGTTAGGGGGTTTGAAAGGAGTGGACATGTAAGAGGATTGGGGTTAGGACCAACCTCAACCTCAATTGGTATCTCCAAGGCTTCTTCGAGTAAAAATTGCAAATTGAAAAAAGAGTTGAAAGATCTGAAGGGGTAGATGTCAGCTGTACTTGCAATTCTCAATGATGCTGGATTGGTAAGTCAATATCAAAGCTGAACTTATATTATTGTTATAAACAAATTAATTTATATGTCTTGCTTCCGTCCTTGGATGCTTTGGATGAGTTATTTTGATTAATTTAGTGCTACAGTCTTTTCTAATTTCATCTGATTTTAAAGAACTGTTCCTTATCTATGGACACATCCTTGGATGGTTATATTTTTGTGTTTTTGCATTCTAAGGTTATGTGCTAACAACATGTAGACTTGAGTTCTATTAGCATGAATGATGATTTTATGCGTTGTCCTTGTATTTCATCTATTATTTATATTGCCATTGATAGATAGCCTTGTAGCTTTGTGGAATTTTGACATGAATACCATGATCTCTTAGCACAAAATGCAGAATATAATGCAAGAAGGAGAAATTATGAATTATGGATCATTTTTCTGTATCTTCTGCTATTTTACATTTTTCCATGTTCTGTTAATCATTCTTGGTTTTGCAATGTGGATTAATTGAACGTATTCCTAACTTTTGTCAAATTACATACAATTGCAGGATCTATCTAGCATTACTGCTAGGGTAAATGCAAACCAGCCTTCTTCTTTTTCTTCATTGAGCCAGCCTTCCTCATCAAGCCAGCCTTCTTCAAGCCAACCCTCTTCAAGCCAACCCTCTTCAAGCCAACCCTCTTATTCAAGCCACCCTTCTTCAAGCCAAATGTAGTAATCTTGTGTTAATTATTCTAGTTTTTGGATGCAATTGCTTAGATTAATTAGTGTCATAGATGTTTTGGTGACAATTTGGTAAGAAATGGTTTGAAGTAATTGCAGGTTATAGAACTTCTTTACTTGTTGACAATCAGTGTCATAGATGTATGAATTGACAAATATTTTGAATATATGGATGAATGAATTTTTGTTGTTTTATGATTAATTTTAAAAATTAATTTTTCTGAGTTTGTAGGCACTTTAGAATGCCTAAAAACAGAGTGTGTAGGGTAAAGAAAGGATGATTCTGGGCAATTTTTTGAGCGGGTCATTTCAGGCGCTTGTTAAGCGCTTGAAAATTATGAATTTTCAACCTTGAGGAAGTATACTCCGGACGCAGCTTGGGTGTATGAAAATAACCTGTTTTGTAGGCGCTTTAGGAAGTGCTGCATAATAGGTTATTGCAAGCGCTTCACAAAGTGCCTGCAAAATAGGTTATTGTAGGTATTTCCTAGTCATTGCAGGCGCTTCAAAGCGCCTACAAATTGTGCTATTGCAGGCGCTTTTAAAGGGCCTGCAGATTAAGCAAGGTTCAGGCGCTCCAACCTACTCCCACTGGGATCTTTCTTGACACGGGATTTGCAGGCCTCATGCAGGCGCTTTCTTGAGCGCTAGATAGGTTTATGCAGGCACACAAAAGCGCCTGCAATGACCTCATTTACGCTCCAGCAAAACCTGTAACCTTTGTAGTGAGGTGGTCAGGCCCTCCCAAGCTCTGTAGAAAGGGTTAATTTATTTTGTACTTTTATGGTATAAAATAAGAAATATTAATTATATAATGATAATAATTTTATTTTTAAAATAATAAAATTAATTTTTTATTTTGATTATCAATTTCATGTGTTAGATTTTATTATTTAATTTTAAATT